GAAATTGGATTGCTGTTGAAGTTGATAAGGTAAGCTGAAAGTCATACCATGATACAGCTTAGAAATATTAGCCTTACAAAAATGGATTAGAACAAGTGCACAGAAGCTTATAGATGTACTCAGCTGACAATGTCAATGTGGTTAAGTGTTTGGTAGCTATGGGAATCTGTATTGGAACAGCAGCTTCTGTAAGGTAATGACACCTGGCCAGAAAAATGGCTTTAACTTGACACCTGTTTACTACAAGGCATTAGAAAATCACAGAAGAAAATGGTCCCCACCAAAAGCTCAAAACAGGCACTCCCCCCTTTCACAGGCTTTTTAAAAAATGATTAAAAAGGTGTGCAAGGAGTGTGTGTGTGCATGTGCGCACGCATATGTCTCTGTCTCTCTCTCTGTCTCTCTGTCTCTCTCTGTCTCTCTCTCTCTCTCCGTGTGTGTGTGTGTGTGTGTGTGTGTGTGTGTGTGTGTGTGTGTGTATGTGTGTGTTTAAATTTTGGGTTATTTTGATAGAGATGCCACAATGTACTGGACTTGCTTGAGTGGTCTTGCATATTGTGAGAATATTTAAAAAGTTAGTTCTTGACTTCCAACACATGCCCTCTAACCTCTAATTCTAAACTGTAATTTCTCAATTTTGGAGATGACATCACTTAGCCAATGATAAAACTTCGGAGAATCACTGGTAATCACTGGTAATCCCTTTTCTCAAAAGAAAAAGGGAAATAAATAAAATATTAGTATCAATTATTAAAACTACATGATTCTCCCACTTTATAAGCATTACTTAGAATAGCCATATATTCAAATTGCATTTATAAAAAATGTCTAAACATCAGTGGTAGTGTTAAACTTACTTCTACTCTCTGGAAGCCAAAGGTGTCCTTGCTAATGTGCAAGATGAGCTTCCACCTCCTTCCAGCTCCTTGTTCTCACAACTGAGCTAGCACAGCATGACAACCCCCTCTACTGCTGAGGCTTTGCATACCTCTTTTCCTGATGAAAGAGTGCAAAGGAAGCTAAGAGTTGTTGACAATATATTGGATCTCTTATCCTATTAGAATATAACTATTAGCAAGAAAACTTTTTAAATCTGAAGAGATTGCAGCAGTCTTCAGGGATGCTGACTTCAATTTGTACCTCGAAAATAGGAGAATACTTAAGTTTATCAGGTTATAAGATCCTTTAAAACACAAGAATCTAATTATACAAATTCAATTCCTTTGTCCTATCTTCAAAGTCAAAAATTAATGACAACTATAATGAAGAAAACATTTTCTGGTTACTACCAAGTATTTTTTCATACAGTATAAAACATAAATGGAGCATTATAAAACAGTCCTTCTTTATCTTCCTCAAAAAAAAAGCCACACTGATGTGATCTTCATGCCATAACATTTATTCATTTTAAATGTTCAACTCAACTTACTACAATTTAAGTTTATAAATCTCCCATCACTCCAAATTGATTAGTTTCTTGGTCTGTGGTACTTCCATAAATATATGGAGGCCACTCTATGCATGCTTTGTATATAGTCGAAGCCACACAAAAATGCCTGTCAATGAGCAGCAAAATTATAAACTGAGTTTCACTTTTAGTGACCTCTGCAGTCCATCTTCTAGCCTGGCAGGGAGAAGCAGGTTTTCAGGTGCTGTCACTGAATGGTAAGCCATTCTAGGTATTAAGTTATGGCATACTGTCCTGGAAAGAAATTAATTATATTTTTTGTTGGTAACACATTTCAGACTGTTTACACAGCTGACATTTCTCAGCTGTACTCAATCCATGCCCTAAGCTGTGAGGATGATCTTGTTTTGTAGCAGACGCCTCCACTTGAGTGTTTTGAGTAAGTATAAAAACAACACCACCTGCAACAATATAGATTACTTGTAAAGCACTAGCATTACATGTTTTTATGGTCCTAATGAAACAAAAGTTTCTGACATTTATTTGGCTAGACTCTCTCCAAAGACCATAGTTATGACATTTTTTGGCCTGAACTCAAGCACTGGAGCTAGCAGATCTGCAATGGCACAAGTTAAAAGCCGCCTGGTCCTAAACATCTTTGTTGTGTCAAATCATGCAGTTCAAGGCACATCCTGCCAATGTGGCAACATTGGCTTTGGGGAGGTGTGGGCAGGCACCACTTCACAGGTCCTGGGAAAAGGTGCAAAAACGACTAATGAGGCAACAGGATGAAGCTTACTGGGGATTCCCTCAATGCTTGCTATGATAGAAACAGCACCAGGTACTGTGACATTTCTGGTGACTATCAGCTTAACCTGTTTTCTTAAAAGGTTCCTACATTGCAACTCTATGTTAAAAGTAAAATCTTACACAAATACTAAAACATGGGTTTCATAAAAGACTGTGTCAAACTAATTCATAAATTGGAACACAGACTGAATAAGGTACTTTAGTGCAAAGGGTTAGGTGCTATTTTGTGTAATTTTCCTGTTACTTTTGAGATTGTTAACTGATCAACTTATTTCCTGGTTTCTCTAAATGTGGGGTTAAAATAATTTTTGTCTAAACTCAGAGCTTGTAGATTTACTCTGAAGCCTATGCAACCTTGCATTTTAATTTTAAGACTTTCTCCATTATTTTCTATCTTTACTGTCATTTCAACTAGTTATTACTGCGTTTAAATCACAGTAAGCTTTAAATATATAAACCACATATATAACTCAACTCCAGGGAGGCTCGATGAGTGGATAATCTAGATTGCCACTGTCCTTACTCACTCCTCACCATGCAGGTAATTTTGTAGGAAATTCCAGGTACCTTTTCATATGCTAAAAATCAGTCAATGCTTGCCCATCATACTTGAGTTATTTTAAGTACAACATTAACTGACCTCTTTACTGTCTGCTGTAAGTAGCTATAAATATGTTATCATTAATTTTCAGAAAAATGGTGGAAAGTGACTAAGACTTAAAGAATTTTAATGATGTGCTTAGATCTTAAATTATCTAATAATGGTATTTATGAATTTTAGAGAACACGAAGAACATTTCTACTTTTTGATGTCTTCTTAGATCCTAAAAGGAAAAAAAATAATCAAATAAAAACCACCAATGCAAGCAAACAAAACTTACAAAAAAAGCAACAATTACAGCCTTGTTTTTGGCAGTGACCAACAAGCCAATAATTTTAATCATATACTATACTACAAGTGCTAGCAAAGAATCCTAGTGCTTTCTGATTATTTTTAAATTTTTGAAACCCATTAAGCATTTTCCCAAAGGCATATGGCTTATATTGTAGCAAGACTCAAATGGCCTCTAACTCAATAAACTGTCTTAGAGCTATCTTGTCTTCCAAAAAGAATTTATTTTAAAATGCTAGGCTGCAATGACAAAAACAAAAACAACAACAACAACAACAAAAGTAACTGTCCAGACAGCCATAGCATTTATTAAAAAATATTAGAAAGTGAATTCAATTCTAAGGTACTAATCAAGATTTAGTATCATACAATGTTTACAAAGTTCTTCATTCTTTTTAGCACTATTTATTTCAAAAATGAGATTTAACTTTGAATTCCTGAAACATTTTCCTACTTGCATTTAAAAATGTTTATGGGCTGGAGAGCTAGCTTAGAGGTTAAGAGCACTTACTGCTCTTCCAGAGGATCAGAGTTCAATTGCAAGCACTCACACTGGGTGGATCACAACTGACTGTAAATCTAGCTTCAGAGAATTTCTGTCCTTTTCTGTCCTCCACCACCAACAGAAACATACACATAAAATAGAAATAAAAAGTGATTGATTCCTAATGGTATATTACTATCCTCACAGGTCAGTGATCATTCAGACCTCATCGGAGAAGCTTCTTCTTGGAGTAGATGAGAATTAGCATAGAGACCTGCAACTGGACAATGTACAGAAAGGGGCTTTGGAGCACTCAGCCCTAAAGGGGTGTCTGTATCATACCCCTACCCTCAAGGCTCAGGAACCTATGAGAAAGAGGGCACAGAAGTGGCAGACAACCTCAAGGAAACACTCATAGATACAAGAGGCCGATGTGCATGTGAACTCAAAGAGACTGTGAGTACTACCTGATACATAGATTTAAGTCTAGCAAAATCCCAGTACAAATAAGGAAAAGTGGGCACAAACTTCAACACCTAGCTAAGAAGTTATCTGCAATCAATAGCTGCTAGGAAGGGAAAAACAGTTTTCTTCATCTTAGTGACAATGGGTCTATCAACCATACTCCAGTGCAGGCTTCATGTTCAGGAGTAGTTAGTTAGCCAACACAAATCAGATTCCAATATACAGCATAAAATTCTCAAAAAAAAAAACACTTAAAATAAATACACAACAACAAAAACACCAACACCAGAACATTATGGTTATCTGTTTAATACGTAACAAAACTTCATGTCAGTGGGCTTAAGATGATAAAATTTATTCCTTGGAAAAGAGTTAATTACTAGGAAAATGGCAGATATAGAGAAAGGTTTCCAAATTTACAATAAAAAGTATTCATAAATTGCTATATTGAAAGACAACAAGCTAATATTTCCTTGATTTTATGGTAGTGAAATGCATAAAATATTTAAAAATATTTATATCAACTGCAAGATATAATAATTTTCAAAGTACCTAGCCACTGATACACATATACACACAGAAAGAGAAAGAGAGAGGGGGGTGGATAAATCAACATGTGTTAGAGGTTGATTTTGAAATATCTATGATTTATAATTTTTGTACTTTGAACATCTAATTAATAACCAAATGTATTCCCATCAAGGAAAAGAGTGAGTCAAATTAAGCAATATCAAGTTCCCAACACTGATATACATCATTACCAACATAATGTTAATATGCTTGGCTTATGGACATTTGTTCTGTAAATGTGTTCAAATTATTACAAATTTTTTAAAAAAATTCTGACATGATGATGTAAATAGAAAGTGTTTTCAATGGAAAACTCAAAGCATTTAATTCTGCTTGTAAAAGCCTCTCTGTGAAGAGAGGCTGTAACTTACTGAATCATCGGTGGCAGAAGCTGGCCAGCCCTCCCATAACTGATGTCGAACAGGTATGCTTGTAAGGTCATACACATTTCTCTTTACCTATAAAAAGAAAGCAACAGAATTAAAAAAGGATTCTGATATTATTTTATTATGGTAACTTTATTTATTTAAGATAAAACATCAATTCATACATTCCTTTAGTTTCAAAACAATAATTTAGAACTAATACAAGTCAGAACAATTTTACAAAGTTAAAAAAATACCATATATTCAAGAGCAGAATTTCAATGAAGGCTACGTAAAGTAATATTTCAAGAAATAACTTCTCTTATGACAGATGATTTAGTGTATGTGTGTCTGTACAGGTAGAGAATGTATTTGAGTATGGATATGCTCAGGAGCTAGAGGCAAATCCTTGGACGCAGAGTTACAGGTCGTGACAGCCACCTGGTGTAGGTGCTAGAAACTGAACTCAGGTTCTCCGCAAGAACAGTGCCTCCTTAAGCACTGAGTTATCATCACTCCAGACTCCTAATGACTGTTATCTTTCCTGACTTCAAGTCTCTTGTCAGTTAAAAAACTTCAGGTAATGGTTCACTGAAAGCTGACTACATTTACAAACATTTATAAGTAATTTAATTTTAAAACTTTATGATTCAAACAAAAGTATATTTCGAGTTTCTATTAAAGAAAAGAAATTAATTTGGTTGAAGTAAAGTGAGGGACTAAAGTTACTTTATGTTCTAGTTTAAAAGGCTTAAACTATATAAAGTAGGTTGTAGAATTATTTTTAATTATCCCAAACTTAAAACTGAGCTGAGGTTTCCATTAATATAATATTTTAGCCACTCCTAAAGTCAAAATAAAGGCTCCTTAGTGAATTCCAGGACACCCAGAGCTGCTTAGTGAGACCCTGGTCTCAAACAAGCCTACCATCAACTTTGTACCTTTCACTTTACAGGGAGAAGAGTCAAGTGAAAAAAAAAAGGTGTGGAGAGTTCAACTGTTGGCCATCCAGTGACTTAAGAAGGAGCATATACTGCTGATGGGGACAGCCTACACCTGCAATTCTGGTTCTCCAGTATAAAGCAGAAGAACCATGAGAAAGAAAGGGGCCAGCTTGGACAATTTAGAAGAACTCTGAAAAGCCGTAACCCCAGAAGATCACACTCCTAATTTCTTAGGATTTTTTTTTCTAAACAGCATACAGAAATTCTATTTTAATCTTCATTTACAATTAAAACTATTAGTTCCTTATAATAATACAGAGGTAGTCCACCTTAACAAATTCTTCATTCAGTGTACTCTACCATCTAGGCTAATCTAGAGATGTGACACAGATGTTCTATGGTTAGTATTTTAATATGGCTCCTCAACAGGAAGCACTAACTCATACATCTAAGATGTAGAACTTTAAAGTACCATGCTGTTCAACTGCAGCATTCTGTTATGATATTACTCTTTATTATACACAAACATATCTAAGTTAGCCTCCAGTGAAACAGAGATATGCACACATTAAGGGAAAAAAAACAAAACATGGAACTCAATCTATTTTTATCTCTAATATACACCTGGGGGTGGGGTGGGAAAACATGGGAAATAGTAAATGATATCCTAGGAGCTTGGGACACTGCTTGATACCTCACTCAATTTAAACAAGCAGTTTTTTTCCAAATTGCATTAGCAATGCTCAGGATACTCTGCAATATTTTGCTTACAGTTGTCACATCAACTCTGAAAATTTTGATCAGTCTTTACCAATTCAACAACCTAGCAAAAGGCAACTGGACCAGCTTTTAAGCACTTTCACTAGTGAGTCTATTTTATCACACTTAAAAAATTAGTGCTCTCAGGGGCAAAAGTACTTTAACAATCCAAAGCATTACATTCATAAAAGAGAAAAGACAGGAACGAATGCATGAGGAATTTTCAGACTTCAAGAAAAAAATTCTTCCTTTAAACTTACATTTTAAGTACCTAGCTACATCAGAGTTCACCAGCTATTTTTTAACAAAAGCAGGAAAACTCTCTCTCTCTCTCTCTCTCTCTCTCTCTCTCTCTCTCTCTCTCTCTCTCTCTCTCTCTCTCTCTCTCTGTGGTGTGTGTGTGTGTGTGTGTTAGTTACCCCAACACTGGAAACTTGCACAAACATGATGTGTGCACAGACAATAAAGCTTTGAAATAAAATTCCTTAAATTCTACCTTAATTCCAAAACATAATGATTCATTATCATGAAATAAACAGTATTTTCTTATTTCATTAACTCATATATAACTGCACTGAATTGAATGACATTCCTCTGCTATTCTAAGCCTCAAAAGCATGTTCTGGCTATAGTGTTATGTTGGCATAAAGCACAATGCCAGACTGATGTGCTGAACAAAAGTGATCAAAGTTAGAGTAATGTTAGCCACTGCACAAGTATTTGGCTTCATTGTCCTTCCCAGAATGACATCTGTTAAAGCAACCTGTCATAGAACAAACTAGTTAATGCAGAGAGAACTTAGCTGTGAGTGTACTATGTAAAGCATATTAAGCTAATGTTTGATTGTTCCAATGCAAAGGGTAAATTTATAAAGTATTTTGAGATTATGACAAAAGAAATCTTTTAGGCTAAACTACAGCCATTAAACAGCAATTTTAGTAAAAAAAAAAAAATTAGCTTTTCAAAATTAAGTCTGTGCTATAACAATAAGCAGACTTTTATCATTATAAAGCAAAGCAATAGCAGAAACACCAAAATAGTGAGTTTAATAAAAGAGATATAAAAATTCATTGCTTTTACTGATGAGTGTATCCAATTAAAAGTTTCAATCACCATTGTGCAGTAAAGGAAAAGTTAAAAAGTACACAAAGAAAATGTAAAAGTAATTACTTTTTAAAAGGTAGTCTTTGAGCTGTATATAAAATGATGCAGGTGAATCTGAAGTTCCTATGAAATAGATCAAAGATGCAGTTCTCCTAGAGAAGGAGGGAAACTAAAATGAAAAGAAGTGGAGAGAAACAGACAGACAGGGCAAGAGAGTAGGGATGATGGAGAGAGCAGAAAAAGAAATGGGGGCAAGGCATAAAGGGGAAAAACAGCAACCATGAGTATCTGAGAAAGGTAGAATGAATGCAGGTAGATCTGCTGTGCTGACTCGTTTCTGATATAGTTCCATCTTTAGTGACTGTTAAATTCTAGTTAAGTAGGAACAAGTGACACTAGATAACTAGATAAGGGATTTTTTTCTTCCGGTCTTACACATTTTCTTTGATCAGCACTAACTCAAAATCATGTTGAACATTCAAAATCTTTTCAATTCTTGTCTTGTGTTAAGCTCTAAATCTATGAGATTTTAAGTTACTAACCCATGCAAATGTTTCATTTATTCTGAAGGAACATAATAAATACTGTGGTTGCCAGTTAAACATTAAAACAAACTATACTGTATTTGAATTACAAGCTCTAAACTCACCATAAATTTTTTTTCTGGTGTCTGGTTCTAGATTGTAGAGAATTTTTCTCACTGCTTCAGATTATATATCAGATATACTTTATATATATATATATATAAACACAAACAGCTCAGAATAATTTGAAAAAGGCAGACTATGTTCCTGATTTATTAGATACTTTCATAGCTGATATGTATCTACATACTTAAAATATAGCACTCAAGGAAGGACCATTTTATCACAGCATGCTCACTGTATTTTCATAAGAACTCATCTCCACCCAACTTTTTTCTTTGAGTAAAATTTCAATACCATTTCTTACAGAACAATTCTTAGTAAGTTACTCTACTAAGTGCTAAATTTTAAATTTTAGACTCAAGATTAGACTCAAATGAGCTGTTCTTGGTTATTCCAACTGAAAACTAAAAGGCCTATGAAACTTAGTAGATAACACTGTCAGTTATAATAAAGTAATCGCTTGTAAACTGAATACTGATAAAACTGTCAAAATTTTTCTCAGGAAATTGTAAATGCCATCAAAGTATATATTGTGGCCTAAGAAAAGCAGACCTGGAATTCTGATTCTAATCCCAGAGCTATTACTGTACACAAATTGGCTGAGCCTTTCTGAGCTTTAGTTCACTCAACCTTAGAAGAGAATAAAGATCATCTCTGATTTTCAATGCCATAAAATCCTATGATTTCATGAAGATATTAGAGTTAATCCTGGGTGCAGAAAAAAAAGCTAAATATATGCAAAACAAAGCCATAATGAGGGAGTTTACAAACAGTACGGCTCTAGCCTTAATTTTCTTAAATGGAACAACAGCAGTAGAGTCAATAAATATAACAGACACCAAAGAGAAAAATGAAAATAATTTCAAGTGAGAAATAGAGATATAGAAGCATTTTAAATCAATTTTTCTTGAATAAAGTTGAGTCTTTACTTTGTTTATACCTTAATAAAAACCTAATTAATGTTTTTAATCTCATAGGATCTAATTTTAAAATAAAACCTGTCACAATGGTTTCTTAACTAACTGTACCCTCAACTGTGTCATCAGTGATCCCACAGTCTAGCCAGACCACTGTTACCAATAGGTTAACAGTTACAACAGTTTTAATTCCCTTCATTAAAAATCTTTGAAATTGGGCCCATAAGTTGTTATTAAACATTTTAATTTAGGAAAATATATTTAAATGGTATGGGTTCCAAACAGCTTTTAATTGGTTCTGGATTCTCTGAATTGAGACACTAACACACATTATTGTCTTTCTAAGCAATATCATGAAATGACAGGCATCCATGTGATTTTCCTGCCACTGTTACATGACAAAAGGCCTCTAGAGACAGTAGACCCTGAGCTTATCCAAATTTAAAATATATCAAACTGCAACTACATAGAACAAGTAAATGTTTGCAGTGGTCTGTTTAAATCAAAACAAGGCACACAGACCAGGCTGAGTTCCAGTTTCCTGGCAATCCATGGTGCTCTGAAAGGCTTGTGTAGTTAAGAAACCAATCACTTCTGATTCAGAATGGGCTTTGAACACATACTACATATCTAATGCCTTTCCTTTTTCTTCTTTTTAGCATATTGTACATGCACTGCAGTTGCACATGGATTTGTTTTACTAAGATGCAAGTTAAACCCGT